CAGTTATTCCAGATATAAATTAGGCAAGTGAACTTGGAATGTCCTTGGGATTCTTTACTGGTGACCTTAGTACTAAGCATAAAACTCGGTACTGCAGGAGGACTGCAGCTGCATTGATCTCTCTGTGGTTTAACTCACTATGTGTTTATCGTCAGCACTGTACAACTGCCAGGCTATTGCATTCTTTAATTCTTCTATAATGTTATTGTCTCCTATCGCTTTCTATAAACTTATTAATTGTTGAATGTATATAGACCATCTTTCAACAGTTAGTATAAGGTCTTCTTTAGGGGAGAATCCATGTTTCATACTTCCCTTGAATGCTGCAGTTTTTGGCATAATGCCGCAAAAGTACTCAATAAAACCTTTTGATTTATCAATTAATGTACCGATTACTTACAATCATTCTTATAAAACCATGGTAGGTAAAACAGAAATGCTAATGATGTCTTTGTCTTTCATATGATGTTGTGAGGATCAAATCAGGTATGAGATGGGAAATTACTCCACTGCTGTTAGGAAGCCCTACTAGGCCATTAAGAGGAATTCGGTTGAAATTGTTCTTTATTTTATAGGATACGCTTTTTTGCCGCCTGCTTTGGAATTTCAGTAAAACAAAGAAACCAAACAACTCCTGAATATACACTGAATGGTTTGGTTCTAGTGAGATATTTTTAAAGTTTTGCTCCAGAGCTGGGCTGACTCCAATCCCAAAAACAATTGTGCAGGCTAGTTAGGAAATTCTTATACAACATATAAAATAGAGACCACAAAGGGATTTTTGGCAGAACAGAATATAATAGAATAGAAAAATAGTTTGATGTGTTTTGAAGATTTAATCCCTTCCACTTGGTTACCATTAATGAAGACAAATGCTCCTCTAAGATCAAAGCGAAGATTTTGACCTGTTTCCCAAATGGTGCGGCAAGGTGCTCCATACCACGTCATGGGACCTCCCTTTCAATGACATCTTTGTGAAGTTAAGCTTGTAGCAGGTTTGATAAAAAGCAAATATGGGGTAAAAACTGAGGTGGAACAGAAAATGAAGATGGCTATATGCAATCTGATTCTAAGGTCTGGGAAGTCGTGGAGTGCCTAACAGTGCACACATCCCAACTCCAAAAGCAGTAGGCACTCCCACTGCCGATTCATAGGAAATATATTTCAAGACCCCTGATGGATGCCTGAAACAGGAGACAGTATAAAACCATACGCACACTGTATTTTTTCCTATACATACATATCCCTAATAAAGTTTAATTTATAAGTTAGGCACAGTAAGAGACTAGAAACAGTAATGATAAGATAGAACAATTATAACAGTGTACTGTAATGCAAATTACCTGAATGTTTTCTCCCCCTTCTTCTTTCTCTCAAAATACTGTAACATTTTCAGATCAGAGTAGATGGAAATTAACTGAAACCACAGAAAGTTGTAACTGTGAATAAGGGAGATTACAGTTTTGGAGATAAGAATGAAATAAAAATACATTTTTATGTTATGTGTATTATATTTTCAGAGTGCTAATAACTTAAGACATAAATACTTTCTAAGGTGTTTGGATCTACTTTCTTAATAAACTGAACTCTTAGGTCTTTGTTTTTGCCCAAGTGTGCTCTAAAAAATTCCTGAGACATTGTGAGCACTGAGGACAAAGAAAGATTGAGAGCTACTAGCTCAGTGCAATGAAATACATATTCGGTTTTGGTGAAATACAAATATTTGACACGTGCTTAGTTTTTTTATATCAATTCCTTTACCCACCTATGACTGTTTTAAGAGATTTTATTTTTTTTGTGCAATTTATCTAAATAAAATACATTTTTCTCATAGGGCACCCAGGGGAGGTTCTGATACATGAGTGTCACCTTTTGGATTAAGAAAGTCACTTCACCACTGTTGGCCTTGATCTCTTCACATCTATGAAATAAGTGTAGATTATGTGACATTCCTAGTCTCTTTCTAATCTAGAATTCCATAATACTATAAATTTAGAAAATTCTTAAAATACATGAGATGACCATCAGATGGCAGAATCAAGAGAGTTTTCCGCTCATTGTTAATTGAAGAGAGAATTAGCATTCTCTCTGGAAGCAATGGCCTAAAATTTTGACGTCTGATATGTTGCACTGATGTGGGCATTGTCCAATGTAAAGGGTACCAGAGAAAGACCCTGGATAAATAGGTGTCAACACTTGTGGTAAATTGGAAAGGGATGTCTGAGCATTGTGGAGCAGGCAGTTCTTCAGACTTTATCATTTTGCTTGGGTTTTGCTGTCGGAAAAAGGATGATGTTGAAGAGAACGTGCTATCACGTTTTTGATAGCAATGTACTTAGAACTCAGTCTTGTTCTTTCAAGTGTCCTAAAACTCATGTCATATGTGTAAAAAAAAAAGTTCACAATCATTTTCTTTTGCTCCTCCTCAGGGTGGTTGATAATGTAGCTAAACTGTGAATGCAGGTAGAGTCATCTCTCTGGATATTTATGGTGATATAAGGGTTCCTAACATAACTTTTCTGATATTTCAATAGCTGCTTTTATGTAAGAATAAACTCTTAATTGCACTTTAAAAATACCTCTATCGCCGGGCGCGGTGGCTCAAGCCTGTAATCCCAGCACTTTGGGAGGCCGAGGCGGGTGGATCACGAGGTCAAGAGATCGAGACCATCCTGGTCAACATGGTGAAACCCCGTCTCTACTAAAAATACAAAAAATTAGCTGGGCATGGTGGCACGTGCCTGTAATCCCAGCTACTCAGGAGGCTGAGGCAGGAGAATTGCCTGAACCCAGGAGGCGGAGGTTGCGGTGAGCCGAGATCGTGCCATTGCACTCCAGCCTGGGTAACATGAGCGAAACTCCGTCTCAAAAAAAAAAAAAAAAAAAAAAAAAATACCTCTATCACCCTGTTGATACTCTTTAAAGCAATATCGAATGCTTTTCCAGTAGATTTAAAAACAAAAACAAAACTCAGCCTATTTGCAGTTTACCTTTTCCTTACACCCGTTACCCACTTTTGCTCTTCTATGTTGTGAGTAGTTCTCTCATGCCTTCTGTGTAGTCTTAATACCTGTCACTTCCTCAATACTTTTATCCTTTTCATCTTCATCTTCGTGGTTCCTCTGTGGCTGAACTTTATTTTTTTTATAATTCACTATACAGTTTCTCTCTGATGTTTTTCTCGCAGTACTTTTATAATCTGTATGCATTTATTGTTCTTTGCAGAACCTTCTCCTTGCCATGTTCATTTATTTTCTGATAATCTTTATTAGATCTTTTACTTTGTATTTTTCAAGTCTTTTAAGTACCCTCTTATGCAAATTCTATTTTTTATTTAACTCTCTTAGCTTGCCTTGTCTCTGATCTTCCTTTGACAATTTTATTACAATTTCTTTCATCATCTTTACTTTCTTTTTTTAAAATGTCTTTGAAATACAATCTTCCCACTTTCCTTTTACTGTTTCTATGATTCAACTCCTCTGTTCCCTCTCGTATTCTTGGCCTTATAATTTAGAACAATTCTATCTCAGCTCATCTTTTTGCCTCTCCCCCTTCCTTTGTTTGAAACTGGTCCTTTGCAAAAGGCTTGGCTACCCAGAATGGCTTTCTTAGTTGTTGAAAGGAGGACCAAACTGATATTGCCAAATACCTAAAGCTTTACAAAAATCAAGGTCAAAGAGATGACAAATTGGGGGTCAGGGCTGAAGGGCAACTATATGGCTTGAAAGAAGATGTTCAAGTCAGGTGACGTTATTTCATTTTGTAGGTTATATGTGCCATATACATTCCACAGTTTTCTAAATAAGCCAGTTTTCTAAAAAGCATGGTGGTTGGTAGGTTCTTGGCAATTTTAAAATTTTTATCTTTTGGAGAAAGGGTCTTGCTCTGCCTCTGACTGAAATACAGTGGTGCAATGATAGCTCACTGTAGCCTCTAACTCCTGGGCTCAAACTTCGAGTAGCTGGATTACAGGCCTCACTATGTTTTCTGCTTTGTAGATAAGAGATTACCATGTTGCCCAAGCTGGTAACTCTTGGTCTCAAGCCATCCTACCACCTCCGCCTCCCACCCTCCCACCTCAACCTCCCAAATAGCTGGGATTACAAACACATGCCACAGACGCAGTAGGTTCCTGGCATCTTTTATTTTCTTTTTCACCATTAGAAACTAAAGTCCAAATTTCTAAGTTAACATAAGGCCTATAATTAGAGAGTAGACAGTCTTCTCCAACCTCTGAGCTGACTTGGGATGGGGAAAAAATATAGTAGACAACTTGTTACATTTCTTCTTTCCTTTTTCAAAATCTTTGCTTTTAAAGCTAGCCTGCTTCTTCAGAATGGGATAAAATAAAACTAAACCTGGGTGGGTGTGGTGGCTCCCACCTATAATCCCAGCAATTTGGGAGGCCAAGGTGGGGGATCACCTGAGGTAGGAGTTTGAGATTAGCCTGGCCAGCATGGCAAAACCCCGTCTCTACTAAAAGTGCAAATATCAGCTGAGCATGGTGGCATGTGCCTGTAGTCCCAGCCACTCAGGAGGCTGAGGCAGGAGAATCACTTGAACCAGGCAGACAATGAGCTGAGATCATGCCACTGCACCCCAGCCTGGGAGACGGAGCAAGATTCCATTTCAAAAATAAAATAAAACCAAGCCCATTCATCCATTCCTGCAATAGGATGGTCCCAGAAGAAGGCATAATTGTCTGATAGTAGTTAATTAGTGAGTATTCCCCTACTAAGGCATTGCAGGGTCTTTGCTATTTCTAGGCGCTAAATATCTATTTAGTATACTGCTCTCTAGGATGAAAGGCTCAGCAGAGTGCTGGGCTCAGGAACTGATCTAGCTGCTATTGGATATGAGCATTGGATAGAAAGGACAGGCAATCTTGGCTGCTGGTAGTAAGGTAGCTACTGCTGAGTCTTCCCTCAAAGCAAATGGCACGTTAGGCAGCACATCTTGTTATGAGTCTGATAACCTGAATCCCTGCCTGAGTTACTGACCTGGGGCTGTTGTGTGACACCTGTCATTTCTCTCTCTCCTTCTACTTTTGCTCCTGCAGAAGATGAATTGGTTGCACTCAGTGAAATCTAAAAATTCCTTTCAACTCCTTCTCCTTTGTCATAATATTTCAAGTTCCATCATTAAACATTGATTTCTTTTGGTTTCTAAGGCTTTTAGGTTTTCAAGGATTGCCATTAAAATGCGTAGCTGAAGGGAGGAATAACATTTTAGAGTGTTTTTAGCCCATATATTTGAGGAGGTTTTGACTGACCCCTTAAGGAACAGGCCATTTGGGAGTAAGGCATGGATGATCTGCTAGGACAAAGGGGACTAGAGGATCAGGGAGGGACACACATGGGGAGACAGAGGAGAAAACAGACACGAAGAATAACTAAATGCTAGTTTCTTTGACACATATTTTATCGATTCCTGCAGAAAACCTGGGATGTAGTCATTACCACACCCATATTTAATATGAAAAACTGAACTTCAGAGACCAAACACAACACAGCTACGCTTACTTGGAGAAGCAGAGATAGCATGGGAACCAAGGTTGTAGGATGCCAGGGTCTCTGCCCATAGCCTTCTCACTGCAGCCCGTTTTTTTTTTTTTTTTTTTTGAGATGGAGTTTCGCTCTTGTTACCCAGGCTGGAGTGCAATGGCGTGATCTCGGCTCACCGCAACCTCCGCCTCCCAGGTTCAGGCAATTCTCCTGACCCAGCCTCCTGAGTAGCTGGGATTACAGGCACGCGCCACCATGCCCAGCTAATTTTTTGTATTTTTAGTAGAGACGGGGTTTCACCATGTTGGCCAGGATGGTCTCGATCTCTTGACCTCGTGATCCACCCGCCTCGGCCTCCCACAGTGCTGGGATTACAGGCTTGAGCCACCGCGCCCGGCGCCAGTTATTTTTTGCTTATTATTATTGTTTACAGTGTTACTTAGAGTTAGTTCTGCAGAAATAATGTACTTCACCTTGATTATCACATTCAGTCCTCACCAGTGGATATCATTATTTTTTTCCAGGTTTCCAGAGGAAGACCTGAAGTTTAAAAGTCTAATAATCTGAAAACAACACATAGCTCACATCTCAGGGACTGATATAACAGGTATACACATATATATGGGAAAAAATCTTCTGGAACTTTTGACAAAGGCCTTAGCTCACACTGCATTGAATCACAACTGCTAACAAACAAACAAAAACAAGCACCTTTTCTTTCCCTCTATCTCTTTGGCTTGTCCATCATATTGCTCATTTCTAATAATTCAAAGTTGTAAGAAATTGATCCCCTTCCCTATATTTCTTTTTTTTTTTTTGTCAGAAAACTGTTTCCTGTGAGCCTCTTTCACTGCAAAGTGCCTCACACTTTGATCTAAAAGTCAGGTTACACAAACTGGTTTATTCTTTTTATCAATTCAAAATTTTAGGAGACACTTTTTCAAGTGTCAGATATCATAATTAAATGCCAAAAATACTTGCTGTTGAATAGCTAAGCCATTTCTGGAGTCAAATTTCATAAAGTTTGTCTTCTTTCAATATTACTAGATGGCATTGCACAAATTATGTCATCTCTCTAAGATCAGTTTTCTCTCACTATAAAAGAAAGGAGTTGTACTAGATCGTCTGTAAGAGGCCGTGCATCTCCCAAATGGTGTGCTTCTTACCATGCCAAAGCCTTCACTAATTTATTTGAAAAACATGGAGAGCATAGAGTGTGCCAAGTACTGTATAAGGCACTGTAAATACGATCATTAGGTAGCCCTGTGTCAGGGAAGTGAGAATTCTCTGGAGAGCTCACTCTAGTAGAATTACAACATTGATTTATGTTTGCATGCTGCTTACATATATTTAACCCACCTTTTCTATGTAACTTCCCTGTGTCTCACACTATCCATCCCATAATAACATGCATTTCATTTTTTGTTTGTTTGAGACAGAGTCTCACACTGTCGCCTGGGCTGGAGTGCAGTGGTGCAGTCTCAGCTCACTGCAACCCCCGCCTCCTGGGCTCAAGTGATTCTCCTGCCTCAGCCTTCTGAGTAGCTGGAATTACAGGCACCCACCACCAAGCCCAGCTAATTTTCATATTTTTTAGTAGAGACGGGGTTTCACTATAACAACATGCATTTCTTCTCTTCTTCCCTACCACCATCAATGAGTCCATTTTCAATCTGCCCAGTTTTCAGGCCTCCTCAGCTTTCTCTTCTATACATAAAAACATAGATAGAGGTGGAGTTAATAAGAAATTAGTAAATACCTGATTTCCTCATAGGGCTTAAGGGAATCTTCTGCTTGAATGTATATGTATACATATTTATATGTATGAATATATATATGAATTTATAAATATAGATATAGATACATATTTTCTTTCTTCTGAGACAGGGTCTCACTCTGCTGCCCAGGCTGGAGTGCAGTGGTGTGATCATAGCTTACCACAGGCTTGATTTCCTGGGCTTAAGTGATCCTCCCACCTCAATCACCTGAGTAGCTAGGACTGCATGTGCACATCACCACACCTGGCTAATTTTTAAAATTTTTTGTAGAAATGAGGGTCTTGCTGTGTTGCCCAAACTCATCTCAAACTCCTGGGTTTAAGCAATCCTTCAGTGGCCTTTCAAAGTGCTAGGATTACAGGCATGAGCCACAGCAACTAGTTGAATTTTATTTCTTTTTATTTTTATAGTGTTTAAAGAAGTATGGAGATAACAGTTGTATTAGGCTGGGAGAAGACAAGCTAGGGAAAAGTAACGGACAATGGACATACTGATGAAGGGGATGTTTTGGTGTGATGGATATGCCCATTCAAGGTCTTCAGCCTACCCCAATTTTTTTTCAGCCTATCACACTTTTGAGCTGTTTTAGTCTGAGTGATCAATTGGGATAGAGTTGTCAGCTGGTTTAGAGCTCTATTAATGCCTTGGTATTTGTATAGTTTGTTATTCCTTCATGGACCATTCCTCCACTTAGCTTCCTGGACACATACTCTCCTGGCTCTTCTCCCTCCTTCTCCGTTCTTTAGCAGTCTCCTTTGCTAGGTTCTCCTCTCCTCTCGGAGGGTCTCATGTCTTAGAATTTACTGATAATCCTAAATTCACCTCCCACCACCCTTCCTAAACTTCATATTTGTATATCAAACTACCTACTTAACCTCACTAGCTGGGTGCTTAAAAGGCATCTCAAATTAGTATATCGAAAGCTCAGCCTCTGATGCCCCACATACTCATCCTTCACTAGTCTTTCCCATATTGGTTATTATCTATCTCTTCGTTCTAATTATTTGTGCCCCAAATCTGCACATCATTCTTGCTTGTTTATTTTTTCCCTTTACCTAGCACACCAAATCTATCAGTAAATCTTGTTGTCTCTACCTTCAAATTATACCCTGGACATAATATACTCCTTCCTCCACCTCTACCACCCTAATCCAAACCATCCATATTTGAACCATAGACCAGAGCAATAGTCTTCTAAGTAGTTTGTCTGTCTAGGAGCTATTTTTCTTATTACAGCCACAGTAATCTTTTAGAAACCTACCTCTTTTTCTTTTCTTATTTATTAATTTATTTTCTTCTGAAATGAAGTCTTACTCCGTCGCCCAGGCTGGAGTGCAGTGATACAATCTTGACTAACTGCAGCCTCCACCTTCCGGGTTCATGCGATTCTCCTGCCTCAGCCTCCTGAGTAGCCGGGATTGCAGGCACACACCACCACACCCGGCTAATTTTTGTACTTTTAGTAGAGACAGGATTTCTCCATGTTGGCCAAGCTGGTCTCAAACTCCTGACCTCAGGTGATCAGCTCACCTCAGCCTCCCAAAGTGCTAGGATTATAGGTGTGAGCTGCTCTTGGCCTAAACATTTAACATTTAATAGACTGTGAAACCTCTTATTTGAAATCCAACACTTTTCCAAAATATGAACTCCCTACCATAGCCTTCAAGGCAATTCATAATCTTGCCCCTGTGCACCTTTTCTATGACATCGCATGATTCTTGCTGGCTTGCTTCATTGACATTACTGGTCCTTTTACTATTCTTCGTGGTATACATAATTCCATTGTGATTTTGCATGACAACTTGCAGGCTATAGTCCGCACTCATTTACTCAAACACCAGTTTAGGTATTGTGAAGGTATTTTGTAGATGTGATTAACACTACAATCAATTGGCTTTAAGTAAGGGGTATTAGCCCTGATAATCTGTGTGGGCCTGATTCAATCAGATGAAAGGCTTTAAGGGCAGAGCTGAGGCTTCTTTCTGTAAGAAGAGGAAATTCCACTTGTAAACTGCAGTCAGCTCCTGCCAGAGAGTTTCCTGATGGTTTTCCTTGTGGGATTCTAGAATTGCCTAGCCAGGTCCTACAATCAATGGTGCAAACCAATTCTTGGACTAAATCACCTTATTTCTCTATATATATATATATATATATATGTGTGTGTGTGTGTGTGTGTGTGTGTGTGTGTGTGTGTGTGTGTATATATATGTATGTATATATATGTGTTTGTGTGTAATATATACATATATGTGTGTGTGTCTGTGTATGAAATGTGAATAAGAGAGGGAGATTGATTTCTTGCAAGGAATTGGCTCACCATTGTACACACATAGAAAGAGAAAACAATATGTAAATAGATCATTGTACATATGTTTTATACATATATAATTATACATAAAACATACGTATCATATTGCTCTGTTTCTCATAGAACTCTGATTGATGCACCCGTACACATCACTTTTCTCTTGGGCCATTTGCTTTTGCTGTTTCCTGTGACTGGGATGCTTTCTTCCAAATATTTGCATGGCTCATGCCCTTATATGATTCAGGTCTTTGATCAATCGGCACCTCCTCAGAAGGGTCTTCTTTAATCTCCTTGTTAAAAGTGACCCAAGTGACTCTGCATAAATCATATTTTCTTCCCCTCACTGCTTTATTTTTTAACATTTGCCACTATCTGAAACGACATACTTCTTTATGTACTTGGTTATTGTCTCTCCTATTCCCTATGTCTAAGCTCCGTGGCGGAGGCTTTTCATTTGTCTTATTCACTGCTGTATCCCCAGCGTGTAGAGCAGTGCCAAGTCCAGGAATGCACAGCATATATTTGTTGAATAGTGAGAAAATGGGACACTGTATTTATTTATTGGAGTTTAGAGGGTGGTCCTCAAAGGGAGAAAATAGCTGAAAAAAGAGAATACAAACTAAAAAGCTTTCTACTTCTGGCAATTTTTCAATCTTAGCATTTCTTCTTTCTAAAAATAATTAAAAAAAAAAAACCCTGGACTTATTCTCAGCACTTCTCTTTCCCATGTTATTCTATATCTGCCAATTTTCTTTTATTTATCAAAACTTTACTTAGAGCCTAGTATGTGCTCGGAATAACTAGACAAGCCAAAAACAATCAATCATAAAGGAGAACTTCTCAAATGAAGGACTTGTAAAGCTAAGATGTGATAAAGTCAAGTAAGCAAAGAGTAGTGGAAAATAAACAGGATAGAGAAAAATGCGTGCAGAGTGGCCTGGAAACCAGAAAGAACATACTGTTTGAGGAAGTAAAAGAAGATCAGCTTGGCTGTGCACAGTGGCTCGTGCCTGAAACCCCAGCATTTTGGGAGGCCAAGGCAGATGGATCATGTGGTTAGGAATTCAAGACCAGCCAGTTCGAGATCAGCCTGGCCAACACGGTGAAAACAGCTCTCTACTAAACATACAAAAAACAGCCAGGTGTGGTGGCACGTGCCTGTAATCCCAGCCTGGGCAATGGAGAAAGACTCCCATCATGGGAGAAGAAAAAAGGAAATCAGGTTGACTAAACTATAAATTTCGAGAGAATGTATGTGGGTGCATTAAGTAGGTGAATCTGGAGAGGTGTTAGAGCATGAAGCTCCTTTCAGCTTAGTTATGTTGTACTGGACCGAGTATAGAAAGTTAGCACCAAGACAAAAGTATGCCAGATTGCAGGGTCATTTATTATGCCGGCGACCACAGAGGACTCACGTCTCTCCAACCTGTGGTGTCGAAAGGAGGGTGCCAAGACTTTTTATACCCGAAAAACCACCTTGGGAGTGGGGGTGAGGAGCGGGGATGGGGATGAAAAGGTTTCAGACATTCCAAGGGCCAGGGGATTCTGTAATTCACCTCCTGGGCGGAGATGAGGGTGGGGGTCTCCGGACATTCCAAGGGCCAGGGGACTTTTGTCATTCTGTTTGTTACTTCAGTGGTTTACAGAAGTCAATATAAGCATTTGTTTACACATTATCTGGGTAGTGATAGAAGTCACAGATCTTAGTTACTTATTACAAGTCACAGGAGCCAGGATGGAATTAGCCTGGGCTGCTTATTTTGGTTATTACTGGTAAGCAAAGGCTAGCAAGTCTGGCACAATATCACAGTTATGAGTTTTTAGTTTTGTCTGTGGAAGATAAGAAGATAACGGAAGTGCTAGGTAAGAAACTAATGTCACTTTTGTGATTCAGTAAAACACTTTCAATACAAGAGCAGAAAGACCAGTGTCACATGGAGTTTTTGCATTTACTGCTGCTTCTCCTTAAACCTCTAAAACTTACTAGTTTCATTGAAAACTTTGATCCATGCATTTTAACCTCAGGTAAATAAAAACAAACAAACTAACCCTCCATAACCACCAATAACCAACAGAAATAAAGACAGCAAGCAGACTGATTTCATCCAGCTAGATTCAACATGTCCAAAATTTATTCTGGTTGGAGATAGAGTAGCATATTTATGTATGAAATGTGAATAGGGTTTGAAATTAGAATACTTCAGACCCTAGCTCTGCCTTGTGTTGGCAGAATTGCTTAACTTTCTGAAGTCTCCTACAGCTCATGTGTTAAATGAAGCTACCAAGAATACCTTATTCACAGGATAATTGTGTGAATTAATGTATGGTGAGTTACCTGGTGAAATATAAAACTCTGGTTATAGTCATCTTTGCCTCATGAGTTCACAGGTATTTGACGTCAAATAACCACCTTATCATTAGAAGCTACTGCTGTGGGACGGGTGGAGTGGATTTAATGTGATCACATATGGAATCCTACAGAACTCTGAAGATGGAGGGTCCGAGCAGGAAGAGTGCTACTGCCGAAAGAGGATAAAATCCCACCCATCACCACAGGAGGCACTGATTATGCTGATTCTATAGACAGAACGTTACTGTCGTAAGAAACACAGAAAAGACACTGTTAATTCATGTTATGGGGGAGAGAGATATAACACTCCATGGCCATTTCTAGTATTGAAGATTATATTAAAGAAAGTAACTATTTTCTTTTTTTTTAATTTTCAATTTTATTTATTAATTTTTTTAAGAGCATCTTTTTTTTAAAATTTATTTTACTTTAGGCTCTGGGGTACATGTGCAGGTCATGCAGGGTTGCTGCATAGGTGCATACTATATCTGGCATTTCTCCCCATGTTATCCCTCCCCACGCTTCCCACCTCCCCGCAGTCCCTTCCCTAGCCCCCTACAACTGCCTCCAGTGTGTGATGCTCCTCTCCCTGAGTCCACGTGTTCTCATTGTTCAGCACTCGCCTATGAGTGAGAACATGCAGTGTTTGGTTTTCTGTTCTTGTGTCAGTAACTATTTTCATTCAAATCAACTGAAAAAGAAAGCTTGGAACTTGAGAAATTCATGGGAGCCAATGCATAAAACTCATTGGGAGAGACCTTGATACAAGAAACTGACTCACTGCTACAGAGGTAATAAGAAAGGCCTTCAGATGAGAATTCCCTTTGTAACCCTGATTGAGTGGCTATGGGCGTGCTGGTAACAAGGATCTGCAGAGTGATGTAAAATAAACATTTTTTTCTTTTCTCTACCTTTTTCTTTTGTTTATTTTTAAATATTTTTATTATTATACTTTGAGTTCTGGGGTACATGTACAGAATGTGCAGGTTTGTTACTTAGGTATACACGTGCCGTGGTGGTTTGCTGCATCCATCACCCCATCATCTACACTAGGTATTTCTGTTAATGCTATCCCTTCCCTGGCCCCTCAACCCCCGACAGGTCCTGGTGTGTGATGTTCCCCTCCCTGTGTCCATGTGTTCTCATTGTTCAACTCCCACTTATGAGTGAGAATATGCAGCGTTTGGTCTCCTGTTATGGTGTTAGTTTGCTGAGAATGAAGATCAGCATTATTTTGGCTTTTTATTTTTCTTTCTATATACCATTTTTTCAGTGAGATTATTTATTATTCCAAAAAATGATCAACTTTATGCAACCATACAGTAAAGAATCCCTCCAGAAGGAGGAGCTAGAGATAATTTGGGGCTTAAGAAAATGTACATTTTTAAGAAGGTAGCAGTTACACGGGCGTATACATATAGAAAAATTAACCAAGCCACACATTTAAGATTTGTATCTTTGACATTAACTGAGAATAATGTAAAAACAAGATCACTCTCTCTAGGAATTAAATATGCAGGTGGTTAGTTTGTCTTGTTACAACATATCTATTATTGTCAAAATTCTGGCGCTCAGGTAAGTTAAACCAAGTAAAATAGTTCTCCCCGCCAACACCCGTGTTAGCATTACAGGGTTCTTCCTGTAGAAGCCTATTTCTGCTTGCATATGCAACAGATTGCTCCATAAACATGAGAAAAAGCCCTGAGAAAGCCACAAGAGTCATTTCTTTCCATCGACCCCTGCCCACGCTTTCAGCATTTATAAAGAGTTGAAAGCAGTCTGTTTTAGCATCTCATAAAGCCCCCTACTTTTACCAAGGACCAGCTTTCGACTTTTTCGATGATCATGGCTCTTATTAGAGTATGCACACTTGTGCTTGCAGCTAAGTTGTTACTATACACACCTTCAAATTCCAGACAGTACAGGCAGCCTCTAGGATCCTTGAGTCTTAGTGCAAAGTCCTTCACACTCTATTGGTAGGTGGCCCTCCTTCCTAGAAATTCTTTCTCTTCAGCTCTGCTGAGCCTTGCTCAAGGCCAGGGCATTAAGTGGTGTGTGCTAATGATATATTGGATGTAGGGTGTAAATGAGAAGGAAGAATGGCAAAGAAAATGAACTAAGTTTCAAAATAGTGACTTTAATTGCTTTTGCCTGTCAAAATAGAGTCATGTAAAAGGACAGCTAGGGCAGAAATGTACAAAGCACTAATGTGTTACTGAGACCAACCCAGAAGCTGCTGATAGTGGAATCTTTCATAATTTGAATGATTTTAGATTCTTCTATAAACTCTTCAAATTATAACTTTACATTGCCTAAGTGTTTCTTGGTGTTTTATCATGATAACGGCTGGCATTTATATTGTACTTATAATACCAATAGGTGTCTGTAGGTAGTTACAGAATGACACATAAATTCTAATATATAAACTAATTAGAGAAAACCCCTCTGTTTCAACCAGATATAGAGAAGGAATAAAAATGTACAGTAAATGTGTCAAATTTAATATACTTGGCAAGAGAAGGCATAAATATGATATAATACCAATGCTAATAATGGAGTGCTTGAAAAAAAAATGTAATGCCCCTTCCTGTGGCTGTTAATGAGCTTTTCAGGAATTATCTGGTGGCAGATGTAGAAGTCACTGCAGAGGAAACGTATGCGGTGTAGTTGAATTCAGATGTAAGGTTCTGAGTCTCTTTCTGCCAAGCAGCCTCCAAGTGGTCTTGAAGCAGTGAATTTTGACTGACATCAGGGCTTTTCTCAGCCTTGCTGTTGGCTAGGCAACTGAATTTTAAAATGTCACCAGCTCCTTAACTCTCAGTGTCCTCATCTCTGAAATGGATTCAATACTTGCTGTTGTTAAGGGTTATATGAAAATGTATTTGTCTTTATATTTTGAACTCCTTGAGGATGAGTATTTTGTTCTATGCATGTTTGCATCTTTGTAGGCCAGTGCAGTGACTGTCACATGGTAAGTAATTTTAAAATGGTGAACCAAGAAAATTATTTAATGCTTAAATTTTATTAAATGAGTTACTCATTCAGTTAATTAGCCATTTTTTCAGAGGCAAAGGAATTAGGATAATAGGATACTTAAGCCACTGCGATTTAGCAAAATAATTGATGGGGATATAAGGTTGATTAGAAAGATGTCCCCATGGAAGCTAAACTAGTCAGTCTTGAGGGAGAGCTGGAGCACTCTGAAGAGCACGGTCATTCTGTCAGTCTCTCAGGAGATCCTGCTCTTCCTGACTCTGGACAGAGCAGGAACTTGGCCAGTCCTGATACAGCTTGGATATTCATACTCACTCAAATCTCATGTTGAAATGTAATCCCCAGTGTTGGAGGTGGGGCCTGGTGGGAGCTGTTTGGGTCACAGAGGTGATTACCTCATGCCTTGGCAATGTCCTTGTGGTAGTGAGTATGTTTTGTTTCTGCTGAAATGGTCATATAGTTATTGCCCTTGATTCTGTTAATGTGATGTATCATGTTCATTGATTTGTAGATGTTGAACCATCCTTTTATCTCTGAGATGAATTATAATTGATCATGATAATTTTTAAATTTGTTGCTGAGTTCAGTTTGCTAGCATTTTGCTGAGAATTTCTACATCTATGATCATCAGAGCTATTGGCCTAGAGTTTTCCTTTTGTGTAGTGTTATTATGGGGTTTTGGAATCAGGTTAATTCTAGACACATGGAATAGTTTGGAAGTATTCCTTAAAACTTTTAAGAGTCTGAGAGCAATTGGTGTTAGTTCTTTAACTGTTAGGAGAATTCAGCAGTGAAGATATTAGGTGCTGGGCTTTTTGCTGGATGACAGAGCTTTTATTACTTCAATCTCATTACTTATTATTGGTCTGGTCAGGGTTTCCATTCTTCATGATTGAATCTTGGTAGACTGTATGTATCCAGGAATTTATCCATTTTCACTAGATTTTGAAGTTTGTTAGCAAACAGTTGATCCTAATAGTCTCATACGAATCTCGGATGATCCTTTGAATTTCTATAGTATCAGTTGTAGTGTCTCTTTTTTCATCTCACATTTTATTTATTTGAATGTTTTCTTTTGTTCTTAGTCTAGCTAAAGATGTATCAATTTTGTTTATCTTTTCAATAAATCGACTCTTCGTTTTGTTGTTTTTGTAGTTTTTAAAATATCTATTTTGTTTATTTTTGTTCTGACCTTTGTTATTTTTTTCTTCTGTTAATTTTAAGTTTACCTTGTTCTTGCTTATTAATTCCTTGAAGTATAACATTAGGTTTTTTATTTGAGATCTTTCTCTGTTTGAGATGTAGGCAGTTATTGCTATAAAATTCTCTCTTATGACTGCTTTTGCTGTATCCCATAGGATTTGGTATGTTGTGTTTCCATTTTCATTTGTCTCAAGATATTGTTAAAATTTTTTAAAAGTCTTCATTGTCCATTTGTTGTTCAGGAGCATGTTATTTAATTTTCATGTGTTTGTGTTATTTCTAATTTTCCTTCTGTTATTGATTTCTAGTTTTATTTATTGTGGTCAGAAAAGATATTTGATATGATTTTAATGTTTTAAAATGTGTTAAGATTTGTTTTGTGACCTAATTTATGGTCTATCCTGGAGAATGTCCCATGTGCTGATGAAAAGAATGTATATTCTACAGTTTTTGAGCCTTAACAAGAAGTTTATGTCAAGTTTTGTCATTTCACTACTTTTTCAAAGAGCCAACTGAATTCTCTCTACTACTGTTTAAAGAAAAGGAGCATTTTTAAGTATTTGATGAATATCCTCCCACTTCCCTAAGGTTAGAAAATAAAAATGTCAGAGATTTTCATTCTATCCACAAAACGAAATGTCTTTCATTCGATATAATTATACCCTTTTCTGCCTGGCTTTGACCTTTGCCTCTCTGTCATTCTCATCTTGGACCCTGAAAAATAAAATATACAGGAAAACAAAAATGGCATCGATAGCACTTAATATGGCATAACTTAGTGTGTGGGAAAACAATTCTACATAGTCCTAAGCCTGTTTTATTTATTTTTTAGGGAGGTAGCAGAGTAATTACATTTAGAAATCTATGAAGAGATAAAGAAAAGGGAAATGATAGAGGAAGAATATTCCTAGAAGGATAATAAATTAATTGTCATATATTTCTCAAAAGTTTCTTAAGATTTTCCAAAAACTGCAATCTCTAACCAAACTCACAAGATGATAAAAAGAGGTAAAAATTCCAAAAAGACCCTTCATTTATTGATTTATTATTCATATGTATCAGGTTCCTACACTGGATTGCTGTGTCCTGGGCATTGTCAATAGGATGTTGAAGAAGAAAAAAATCTCTAAAGTCTTCAAACTTCATACTAATAGGGGAGGATTTGAGGAATAACAACAATGAAAACAAATAGAAGAATTTCTTGTCCTAGGTATTAATCACCTGGCCAAACGATTGATTTTCTACATACATACATCTGCCTATATCTGAAATGTAGCATATTACACTACCTTGTTTCATCTTCACACAAAACTGTTTAATCAGCATTCTTATTACGCATATTTTGAAGATAAACATACTACTGATTTAAGTTGACTGACATAATCACCCAATAAATTAAAGAAACAGCTTAATATACTTTAGCCTCACTTTTCTTATTCAAAATCTTTTCCCCTATAGTGTGATAAAAATTCTGAGAAAAAGAGAATGCAACAAAAATTTAAAGTCATTTTAAAAAATAAAAGGGAACAAAAAGCCAAAAAAGACAGATAATAGCAAATGAAAACACAATTTCATTTTTTTTTTTTTTTTTTTTTTCACAAAAACGACATGGTCTTACTCATGCTTTTTCTTTTTTCCTAATTATGTCCCCCATTTGTATACCAGAAAGTGACTTTTGAAAATTATATCTAACATTTCATTTAAGCTAAACAAATAGGAGAACACATACAAGAAAGTCAACTGTTGGAATGGCTGCAGAACACATTTATGAGACGGAGGAACAAAAGAGCACATATCTAAACATGTGCCTTCTTAGCATCCTTGGCAACCCATTTGTCTTCACTGAAAGCACTTAGAGGAGTTTCCTAGGTATGGATTTAATAATGTAAGGAGGTAAAACAGAAATATCCTTTGCAAAATAAGCAGAAAATATATTTCCCTTGAAAAAACGGTTCATTCTGGATCAGGCCTGTGAGAGAGCTTCCTATCACCAAAGCTTCTGACAAGCCAATTTCCTCTGAAGTCAACACAGCTTGTTCAAGCCTCATCTGTACTCATTTTCAGAAGACCTAGACTGGAGACAAACTTCTAGATGAAGAATCATGTTTGCTGAATCATCTCTCTTCTTTGGTTACTAGTTGGCTAGCAGGTCTAAATAGGGTAGCACTATAAATTCTAAATAATATCTCCCAGTGTCTAAACCTCACAGAAGTCATAAGCAAGAGAGAATTCCAGGAGAGTTTAAAAATCACTCTGTGAGTGATGCTGACAAGGACATGGGGAGCTGAGAGAGTATATCAGCTATCAGTGGCGTGCAAGATGGTTTGAGCAATGTTTGCATTTGGCCAACCAAAACATGAAAAAACTTGCTTTCTTATTAATTTCCTGGAAGCAGACAGGCTTCACAGCCAAGATAGTATGCCTGGGTGACCACAGAATCAATTTTATTTATTGACTGGTAGGATAACAGTATTTTAGAGGAGCTAGAAGAACTCCTAGTGACCATATGGTTTCTTCGTTTTTCTTAAGTTATCAAATTCCTTCTTGATTTTTTTTTAACTTTTCGTAAATACTAATTGAGCACCTATCTTGTTGGAAGCACTGTTTTAGATATTTAAGATGTAAAAACAAGGAAAAGTAGGCAGAGAAGCCCTCCATCATGAAGCTTATATTCCAGCAAATATACATGGTTAATAAGTAAGAGCCAATAAGTAAAATGTAGAAAATTAAAATGAGTAATGGGTAAAGATAAAAAAAGGGGGTATAGGATAAGAGGAATAGGACCAGGTGGAGCAGGCGATGGATTGAATTTTAAATAAAGTGGTCAAGGCAGGCTGTGTTGAAAAAAATGAAATGTTAGCAAAGACTTTAAAGAGGT